AGTAATTTAGTCATCAATTCAATTGATGATCAATAAATTAATTCAATTAACTGTTACTATATGTTAGTTAAATGTAACATGTAATTATTAATTATATTAAACATTACCCAACTCTGAGATAAAAACTTATTTTTAGTTACAGTAATTTAATTTTCTAAATGAAATAGACCATTTCATTATATAGCTTACTTTATCATGCTCTGCCTTTAAACTACAGTCCCAATGTCCTAATGTTTGTTTANAGTAATTTAGTCATCAATTCAATTGATGATCAATAAATTAATTCAATTAACTGTTACTATATGTTAGTTAAATGTAACATGTAATTATTAATTATATTAAACATTACCCAACTCTGAGATAAAAACTTATTTTTAGTTACAGTAATTTAATTTTCTAAATGAAATAGACCATTTCATTATATAGCTTACTTTATCATGCTCTGCCTTTAAACTACAGTCCCAATGTCCTAATGTTTGTTTATACAAAAGCGTATCGCATTGTACAACTGCAATCCTCCTTTTTATGAAATGAAGCCATAACATTATTTTCATCACTGATTGGTTAATAACGAACAAATGGTGAACGTTGACCAATCACCACACAAAAGCGCTTCCATTTTGCTGCATAAAGGAACACACGTGCTTCTGTTGAATTGACCGAAGCTACCTGCATCGTGTATAATCCTCGGTCGAGATATCGTAGCAGACGACGCTCCAATCGACTTGACAGCATAGTCCGTATTTTCACGTGTCCTCTCGTACATCGCATTGCGTAACTGGAGTCCGACTTCCAGGGAGGAGCTCCCTTTTTCGGTAAGTATAAAATGAAAAATCAATTAGTTTTCCGTGATTATCAGGCGTTTGACCAATTAGATGAGAATTTACAAGTAGCATATACATCGTTTATAACAAGCTGTTTTGACGCAGCCTAAGAAATATTTCACTTTATCGGCCAATTGGCCACTACCAAATGAGGTTTTCAACCAATCGTCGGTAGTGTATACATGCTTGTCGTCATTTAACAATAGCACTGAGGCTCAATGTTTTTTACAACATTGTAATTGTAGAAGTTTCTTTATTTTCATGGAATGTTCAAACGTTTAGAAATGATTAGTAATATTTTATAACTGTTCGGCAACTATTCATGTAATACAAAAATATGTCACAACTATCATCTTATGCATCATTGTAGACACATGTAAACAATATCTCACACATGTAAGATGACTACGATGTTTGAAAACGTCTTACCAGTATTTTGGAAAAAGGATAACATCATAGATAAAGGTTAATTTATTTAATTCTTCTTAAATTATACTTAAATGTAATTATAGATTTAAATAACATGTTCGTCAAATAACATGTTTTTGTACAGAAACTATCTCTCTTTAAAGTGAGAAATAATGTATCCTATATAAAAAAAATACTTATCCCGTTGTAAATATTGTTTGCTCGTAATTTGTTTAACACTGATTTATTTTAAATATTAATCAACATCGTATGTCATTATCAACTGTTGACGGGTTGTTTTAAGAGTTACGTCAGTACACGAAAGTCGAGTATTCGTTTATGGACATTTATGATATCTACGCATGTTGTACCATTGCATGACATTGAACAGAATGCGTACGATATCTCATGTCACATCAAGCTAGGTATTTTAGAAATACATTGAGCGATTGGATATTAATCCCATGTAGATTTTAAACGTTCTCATTAATGTCAGATCAACTATTTGTGGCTAATTTTATACCGTATACAAAGAGAAAGTAAAAGTGAGCACTTTGAAAAAAAGGGCAGGCAAGATAGTATAGTATAGGTACGCTATTCGCGCCGGTTTCTCGTCTGCTGTTGGTGCTGCGTTATGAGTCTTGATTTCGCTCCACGCGGGCATCGAGTTTTCGAACGCACCGACGTTGACTCTGTGTGTGACGTTTCCCGATGGGGGCGGAGCATCCTCCAGCTTCCCAATTCTAACCAACCCGATCCCCATAGCCGTTGCATTCTACTGATTTGCTTCAGTGTGCCTCGGCAGTGCGTTCGGTGCGTTTTTTTGGTGTGTGCCTGTGCACATAGCCGCTCACCACCAACGTACGTTCGTGCTTGCTCGCATCCATTTCCCTGTCGTATGTAACGAGAAATTGTTGTGCTCATCAAAATCGTTCAGCGAGAAGACACGCTCTTCGCAATGCCCTGGGCATGCTTTTCCGACATTCAGGTAATCTTATTGATAAATTCTGTTTCTTTCCTTCTTTCTTCCATCTTTTCTCTTTTCTCTCTCTCTCTCTCTCTCTCTCTCTCTCTTTCTCTCTCTGTCTCTCCCCTCTCTTCGAAAAACCCGCATACCCGAGTGGGATTCTCTTTTTCGAGGACCTCAACCTGAGGTCACACGATGACGAGGAACGGAGAAGCAAAAGAGAGAAAGAGATGGAGAAAGAACTCGTCCTCCATTACTTGTTCCCAAGCAAATGGTGGCTTGCTCACTTACGAGTCTCTTTGTTATAATTATTTACGCCTTCCGTTGTATCCTTACGGTATATCGTGACTCTATTCGTGGCATTGTTACAATCGAGCAATTATAACATTGGTGGAAGGGATTGTATGATGTCAACGGCACGATTTTCCATTGCCTACAATATTAGAAACGGACACCAGTTGTAGTGTTTGTTATGATTCTTGGGTTCGTTACTATCTCTTTCACCGTAGAGGAAAACATTAATTGCGCATCGCCTTCACTATATTATTTGGTTACACTCCTCTTATCAGAGTGCGCAATCATCTAACGTATTTAACCATAATAAGTGGTTTCTTCTATAATCCAGTTTGTCAGAATCGAAGTATCGTGTACAGTCTTACCTTTTTTTTTTACTTTCAATGCGCTACACAAAAACGGGTATACAACATTTCCTTTGTCAGCATTGATCAAAGTGTTCGAACTTTTATGAACGTAGATATGTGCCTTTATGTAACAAACATATTTTTGTTAATTATTTAGTATTTCGTCGGTTTTGTAATTGTGTTAATGAAGTATAAAGATATTTATAACACTCTCTTCTTGTTTATATGAAGAAATGTTGGATTAAATACATCTAAATGTTTCATATATTAATATTTTATTTTGCTACTTTGATATTTATTACATTGTTGCATAATTGAATTTTCAAGTACGAGTTAAGATTGAAGTTATTTTCCATTTCAATTTATTGCTCCAATTTGGATCGTAATTTGAATTATGACCTATCCATTATAGCCTTGTTATTATATAATGCATAGATGTATTATACAGTAACTATTTTTTATGCAGTAATTCCAATTTATTGTTCTTGATTATTTTGTTCATATTATATGAGATGATTAACGGAGATTTAGTAGAAATATTTATTCCATTTTTGTTTACAGACAGTATAGTGGCATGAGTCGATTAATCTATGGCAGATCAACAAGATCAGTTGTCATCAGGGGGGTCTGTAGAGACGGCAGATGCTTCAGCAGGCACCTCTAAGCCTAGAGGAAACAGCTCTAGCAGTAGTAGCAGTGGTTATAGAAAACGACAGAGCACTGGTTCTATTTCAGACACTGTAGAAGAAAAAAGACGTAGAGAAAATATTGATAACCCGCAAACATCTCAAGTTTTTAATAACACTTCGTATGAAAATAAGGCTGATACTTTCGAAAAAGTAGGTAAAGCAAGAGGTGATAATAAAAGTCATGGCAGTGGCTTAGAATCATATCTAGGTAATTATATTAATAATATTAATAATATAAAATTAACATAAACATATCTGCATAGTTATACACATTATTGTATGTAGA